TATCTAAAATAGATCTTTAGTAAAGATCTTCAAACATATGATTTATTAAAAATAAAAACAAGATATAAATAACTATTAGTAATTTCAAGCTGTGTTTAATAATCAAAATTTTCTTTTAAAATTCCACTCGTATATGAAATATGAAAGAACATTTTATAATCATCAATGAACTCAATACCTCAATCAACAAGTTCTTTTCACTTTCTATATTCGATTTATAATTATGCTATATATATTATAATGTAATGGCATTATAACTGTACCGATGGGTGGGAAGAAATATGTGAGCATTGAATAATACTTCATTTTTCATTTTTTTTTTTTACTATTCAGAATTCGACTTTAATTTTGTATTATTCTACTACCAATCATTCATTGTGCTGCTTTCTTTTCTTTTTCTTTTTTTTTTTTTTGTATTACACGAGTCGTAACAGTTTTCTTTTTCTTTTTTGTCTTTATTCTTGTTTAGTTTATTCGAATTATTTTTGTTTTCAAAGTATATACGTACACAGTGAACAAACCAAACATACCTATCGAGTGAAAGAATGGTAGTCTGTTCTTACATACATAAAAGAAAGACGAATGGATATAGAGAATAAGAGAATTGTTTGTTGTTGATGAAGTGACAAAAAAAAAAAAATTTAAAAAAAGCAACATACAAAAAAGAGAGAGAGAGAGAAAGAGAAAAATTTATAGAATTGCTTTTTCAATGACATTGATTTTAAAAGAGACACATTAAACATAAACATACCATTGTCGATTGGTTACTATACATAGATAAAGATCATGGTGAATTCTAAGAAAATTATTTTAGAACGATATCGTACATTATTAGAAAGTAATCTTATTTTAACTGATGATTTAATTAATTGGTTAAAAGAAAAAAAAGTTTTTCCTAACTTTGCCTTTGATGATATTAAAGTATGTTGATTTATTTTTATTTTTTTAAATTATATTATTGTTAATGTGGGATTTTTTTTTGTTTTGACTTTTTAAAATAGGCTATACCGACGTCACCAGAAAGAAATAAAAAATTTTTAACTATTGTTATTGATAATGGTGATGCAGCTTTTACAAAATTTGCTGAAGGATTAATTGCAAATGGTCAACCTTTCTTAGGTGAACTTCTTGAAAGTGAAGGTAAATTACATATTCAATAAAAAATGTTTTTTATTAAGAAAAATATTTTTAGATAAAAAAGCATCCGAAATAGTAGGCGATGCATCCGAACGAGTAGTTATTGATGATGATATACTTAAAAAATGTCCTGGTATTGATAAATTACGTGCGGATACAAGAGATAAACTTAAAACATACCTTCAAGAATTAGTAAACAATGAAAATTATATTTCTAAGAAAAAATTATTTCTTTTTTTTTTTAATCTCTAGTTATTAAAAGCTCATTTAAATGATACATGGAAAGCTCAAAATCAAAATAAATCAGTCGAAGTTATCAATCTTAAAAGACAACATTATGAAACTCAACATAGATTAAATGAAACATTAGAAGAGTAAGTTAATTCAATAGAAAATTTATACATATAAATATTAATATATAGAGAAAAGCGTAATATAATCACATTAAAAGATGCTCTTCGAAATGAACAACTTGCTCGACAACAAAAAGTACTTGTCAAATTTAATCTTAATTTCATATGAATATTTATTAATCATTTTAGGAAGAAGAAATGCAAGAACTTCGTAATGAAGTTACCCGACTTAGATCAGATTTTGAACAAAGATGGTCAAGTCAGATTAAAATGGTATGGTACAACTAGTTAATAACAGTAAAAAAAAAGTACTTATTTTCTTTTATTTTTTAAGGTTGACGCAAATAATCGAAGTGTATTTCGAATGCATGATAAAATGGTTATGCTTACTGAATGGCTTCGTTCTTTAGGTATATTGATTTGAATCAAATTGATTTAAATAATATTTTAAAATATTCTAGATAAAATGTTAAAAACAAATATATTACAAAGTGGTATCGAATCAGATTCGATGGATCAATTACAAAATAAATTAAAACGATATACAACAGAAATTGAATCTCTTCGTGGAAAAGGAATTGGTATAATAAAATTTATTTGTTTTTAATTTTTTAAATCTCAAAAATACTTATATATATATATATATATTAATTTAATTAAAATAGGTACAGATAAACTTAAAGAAGAATTATATGAAGCTATTTATACAAGTCGTTATTTACCAATAGAAGATCGTAAAAATAAACCATTTCATGCACTTTTATTACAACTTTATGGTACAAATCAAGTAGCTGAATTAGCAACAATATGTACAAAAGATGTTTTACAATCAAAACAAGAACGTGATAATGCTTATGAAATAAAATGGCGTGATGAAAAAATTGAAGGACTTACACAAACAAATAAAGAATTAAATGATGAAATTGAACGTCTTAAAGCAGCACTTGCTGAACAATCATTAAAGAATACTAAACCACAATGGCGTCCTGTACCTGCACAAATGCCAACAACACCACGTGATCCTAATAAACCACGTGCAACATTAAAACCAGCCAATGTTCAATTTGGAACAAAGCCTGGAGCTAGTTAATTTTATTTTCTTCACAGACTGTTTTTAAATCAACCCGGTGTTGTTTGATTTACTTTCTTTTTTTCGAAAATAAAAACAATTATAAATTGAAAATTTTTCCTATTTTTTCTTTTTTCTCTCTCTTAATCAAGTGTTTTGTTTTGTGTGAGAAAAAGAAAAAAAAACCAAGATATTTTTTCTCTACTAATTGCTTCAATGATAATATTGTGCCAAGTTAATCAATTGTCATTGAATAATGAATAAAATATTTATTATGATATAAGTAAACTCTTGTTCATTTTATAAGAATTAAATCATAAATGCATGAATAATTCGTGTCCGTTAACAATGAATTCATTTCTTATTCGAATACTCAATCGATCAAATTTATGATTAGTTCTATGCATATATGAGTCAATATAAACTCGTTATACTTTTGAGAGTGACAAATATTGCATTGAAGAAGAAAATAATTAATCAAAAAAAAAAGAAATAAGTGGAATAAGAGAGAAGAAGAAAAATAACAACGAACGTTCTTTTTATTGAGGTCACATCGATAAACAATAAGTATTGTATATCTACGTTTATTATTAAACAATAAGAAGAAGCAGACAACAAACGAACAATTCAAGTACGTTACTTCTACAACAATAACTACGAGGTAATAATGAATGAAGATCATTAGAAAAAAGGTTTCTTACGTAGATGAATTTCTTATAATTGTATGTTTATATTCTGAATGAGAAAAAAAATAATTTTTCGAGTTATTCTGTAACAATGCTTTCTATATATATATATATATATATACATCTTTTAGATAAGCCTTCTCTATACAAACTAACCATCATGAATACAACTATCATTTTGACTGGTATTCTTGCCTACTTTTTACTTATGGTAAAGATAAAATTTCTTTTTATTTTCTTTTCGTTTAATTTTCATCGTATATATACATATATTATAGTTAACTATGACATATTCATTTGCATTATCAAGCAAAACAACTGATGATGAAAATCATGAACTTATTGAAGGACCATTGATATTATCACCATATAAATTCAATTCAATCTATGAAAATGATGGCTCAATATTTGATGATTCTGATGAGCATGAGCTTGGAAAACGTCGTTTCAATGCTTGGGCTGGTAAACGTAGTCTGGCGTCAAAAGGTCGTTTTAATGCATGGGCTGGTCGACGTTAAACCTTACTCTCTTAAAATATGCTCTTTTTTTTCTCTTTCACATCTTTAATCAATAAATTGAAAACACTCATATTAGGCATGCTTAATCAGCCTGATATCTTCCAATTCTAATTTATTTGTGTAGTTCAGTTAGATCTCAGAAAACTCCAATGTCTTTTTTCTTCCAGTTATAATACATACATCATGATAAAAGATTTATTATTGTGTGAAAACAAGAACAAGAATCACCAAATATTCAGAATGTCGATGAAGAAAAAATCCATTCTTCTCCCTACGCTCCACTTACACGCAAACATTCACATTTTCATTAACATTAGATATGTGATATATAATTAGTTAAGAAACAACATTTTCTCCTATATCTAACTGAAGTTATTCAAACTAAATATAACCATCTAGTAGATACTTTAGTTAGTTATTTAGTTCACTTGAAAGTCAATTATTAACATAAAAGTTTTTCTTTGTCTCATAAATATAACGTTTACAATATACTTCGATCAATGAATAATAAATAATGATCAATTTGTAAATAACTAAATGATAGATTCCGATCGTATGCAATTATTTTCAAGACGAATGATGATAAATTGATACACTGGATGCAATTGAAAGAAGAGAAAAAAATAACATTAATCGCAAAGAACCAAATGAATTTCTTAATCATCATCTTACACATTTAACCAAAGACGGATAACATCATCCGCCCACTCTTATTTCTATGAATCAAAAATAAAAAAATCTTAATGAATGTAAATGCCTTTGTCTTTTTTTTTTCTTATTTATTTATAATTCATTAAAAAATTTTTCTCTTCTGTTTGATAATATATATATATATATCGTCGATATATACTTGTCTGGAAGGATAAAGAGATTAAATACAATATAAGAATGTATACAAAGCAAGACAAAAAACAAAACATAAAGGCACAATTACTGTGAAAAACAACTAGAATATTAAAACCCTGTACACACTCAAACAAAATGATGATTAACACAAAACTTCAAAAATGACGAATACAAACTATGAATATATAATAATAAAAAACAAATAATTTTTATACAAATGAGACAAAATATAACTTGTTATTATAGCCATAAAGAGAACGAGACGAAAAAAATTATTAGGTCACCGTTGTTGAGCAGATCCAAAGACGACAACAAAAAAAAAAGGAAAGAAATGTGCATGCATAATAAGATACAGATCAAAAAAGAAAAAACGAAAAAATAATGAGAATAATTAAAAACATCCTTCATTCCATGACGATGTTGGTGACATGTTATCAGGAATTTGTGGTCGAGCTGCAGTTGTTGGTGTTCGAATATTTCTAGTTACCATCATACTGTCCGATGATTGGGATGAAGGAATTACATTTGTTGATGTTGGTCTAATACGACAAAAAAACAAAAAAAAAAATTCGATATTTCAATTCAGAGAAATAATTAGACGATTAGTAATTTTCAGTTAGTTTCTCTAATATACTCATGCCTATTTTTTTTTTTAAATTTAAAATCCATTGATTGTTGTACGTCGTGGTGCAAGTGAATGATGGCTGAAAACAACCATCATCAATTAACAAAAAACAAAAAAGGCAAGCCGAGCACAAAAAGAAAAGTTTCTGTTTTTTTTTGATATATTAAACTTACCGTGTAGCAGTTGAAATACTTGGTCGTGGTTTACCAATTGTTGGTATACCACTTTTTCTACTTTGACTTAATGATGATGAACTACGTGGAATTGACGTTTGTCCATTATTTACTAATGTTGTTGCCATCATATCGACAGATGATGATGATGGTGGAAGTTTTTCAACGGATGATTGTGTTGGTGTACGTCGTTGTGATACAATTTGTGAACGATTTGGTGTTGTTAATGGTTTATTACTTACATCATTTAATAAATTATTATCATTTGATACAAATTGTTTAGCTGTAAATGTTGTACCGAAATCATTTGTTGATTTTTTAATATTTTTTTGTGGTGGTGGTGGAACTTTGACATTATTATTATAAGATGTTTGTGAACCACGATAAGGTTGTAATGGTCGAGATATAGGTGGACGTGGACGATTTGTATTAGATGAATTTGTTGGTGTAGTACTAGTACGATTTATTGATGTCGATGGTTTTGTATCAGTAACATCAGGTAAATCATAACCATTTGGGATATTTGTTGAAATTGTTTGTGTATTTGATCGACGATGATTATTTGGTTTAATACCATTTCTAAATTATATATATATATATATATATGTATTGATAAGAAGATTTATTGAATATACAAACCTTCCGATGGCTGATCTAGGTACAAGAGGCGGTTTTTGTCCCTGTTGATCTAATAAAAAAAAGAATTAAACAAAATAAAATTATCATTATATTAACATTCAGATTAAATAAACACAAATACACATATATGTAGCAATTTATTCAAAAGCATATATAAAGCTTTTTTGTTTTGCATTCAATCAAAAAGAATATTGCTATTTCATTATTTTTGAAAGACAAAAAAGAACAAACACGTGTATGTGTGTTGTAAAGTTGCTATAGACATGTAACTTCTTAACGCTGTGAAATAAGATAGATAAAAATGCGATAAGAATATATGACGATCAATTGTTGATAAAGTCTTTTATTTTTATGTTTTATTACTTTTTTTTTTTTTTTCATCAATTTTTATATACTTTATCGAATCATTTTTAGAATATGAATACAAAAAAATTCAAAATAAATTTGATTCATATAATTAGAAAAAAGAAAGGTAAGTTATTATGAAAAAGCAAAAAAGAAATAAATTAAATAATTTGTTTCTTTTCCTTTTTTTTTTTTTGTCTTTTAGATAAACATAAAACTGATTCTAATCAATTAAAAATATATTCTCAACAACAAACTTCAAAATGTTTTTATGCATTTGATAATCTAGCTTATGGCACTTCTATTAATATTAAACAATGATGATTTTTTTTTTTTTTTTATACGAAATAAAATTCTAATAATAATAAAACTATTCTCTCTATAGCTTTCAAGCATTTTTATTACAATGCAAGAAACAAAAGCAATACTACTACTCGATAATTTCTTTCAAAAGGGCTTCCATTTTCTTTTCGTTTTTATATAAACAAACTCACTTGTCATAGTTATAGTAGCTGAGCTGCTGATTGATGCAAGCGAAACATTAGAACCACCTACAAGCACATAAAGCAAAAGCAAGCGAATAAAGCAAACAATAGCAAAAAAAAAGTGTAATCAACAAGAAATTAGTAGAGCATCTATGTGCAAAGTATTAAAAAAAAAAAAGAGCTATATACACATTAGTATGTGATAATGGACCTGGTGCACTATCGATAAATGTATTGTCAGCATTATTAGGCAACAAAGAAGACTGCAAAGGGCTATTTGATGATATAAATGATGTTTCCATACAAGTTTCAAGTGCAGATGGTGTTACACGACCACTCCATTGACCTGTTCTTATAGCTGGTGATGTTGCTCGTGGTGAAACCGATGGTAATACATGAGTATATTGAGATTCTGTTACAACAAATGAATTTTTTCGTATTGGAATACGACCACCGGCAGCAGCCGGACTTGGTGAATAACTACGTCGAGGTGTTATATAACCATTATTACCAACAGGACTTGTATTACGTGTACCACCAAAAACGGATGAAGGTGAAACATCACGTGAATCTGTACTTAATAAAGTATTTGAACTGCCTCCTGAAAATGTATAGATTAACAACGAAAAACAAAAGCAACAATGGTGCACATATACATATATATATATACATATACCAAACATAAAAATTATAAATTGTTCTTTTTTTTTTTTTTTTATTCGCCATCTCAAAATCATATTACAATGAGCAAACTAACATGCATCTAATAGAATATATATGAAACTTACCGAAACGTTTTGATAATGGACCTTGTCGTTCAGCTTGACGTAAATCTTATTAAAAAATAACAATAGATAATTTTATTTTTATTTCTTCTCATTATTATATGAATGAAAAATACTTACTTTCAAGTTGTACTTTAGCCATTACTATAGAAAAAAGAATAAAAATATTAATGTAAACAAAAGATATAGAATGATTTCAATATATATATATCAGACAGTTTTATTCAATTTATTTACACAAGTTGAAGTGTGTAACATTGTCATTCATTTATCGAAAAGGATCAAATCAAATGTTTCGTAACCTCATACTCATATGAAAGAAAAAGAAAATAATAATCGAATATTAATTTCTGTTTTGTTATATCTTTCATTACAAAATTTCTATATATATATATATATTTAAAAAATATTTACCTTCAAGATCAGTATAATCCAATGGTTCTCTTTCACGTTCTTTTGAAACTTCTCTTGAACGTACAGTATTATTTGTAATTGTAATAGTATGTCGAAGTGGTGATGAACTAATTGGTGATGTTGGTCGAGTATTTCCACTAGTATTGAATATCGGTGTAGATGTACGTAATGGAGAAGTCATTCGACCAACATTTGTTACAGGCTCTATAATATATATATATATATAAATAGAAAATAAAAATCCTTAAAAAAAAGAACAAATTGATTCAATCACACATCAAAACAAAATATTTCATAACATGCTCTTTCATATTCATTCGAACTTTGTTCAAACCATGCTAAAACATCTTACTACTACGAGATAATGTATTATCATAATTATCAAGACTATCTAATGATGAATATCGACGTGTTAATTGTTCAATTAATTGACGTTCATTTGTAATAGTTTGAATTAAGGGTGTATCATTTGAACAATCATAAAATTGTTCATTATCATCATCAGATGATTCATCATTAAGTGAATCATATAGAAATAAATCAAACTGATCATGATCTTTTTCAATACTATCCAAACTTATTGTTGATAATTGTAATTTTTTTGATGATAATGTAAAAATTTCAGTTAGATAAAGAGCATTTTCAAGTAAATCAGATAAAGAAATTTGAGGATGAAGAATAAATTTATTTTTATTTATATTTATACCTGGATTAACTTGTTGTTCTGTTGAACTTCGTTTTACACCATCCGATGTTTGATTAGCAGCAAAATTATGACATGAAAGACTTCGTATTGTACGAGCTACAAAAAAAATAAATAAAAGAAAACGAGTTTTGGTTTTTATAAAATATATTTATTAATCAAATAAGAATATAATAACAGAATGACATGCATTTGTTTATATTAAATTAGTCATGTGTATGTAATATGAGAAGTATTGAGTTATGCAAAATTGGAGAGTAATCTTAATTATCAGATTAATTCATGATTTCAAGGTTATATCCTTGATAGATTAAAGATATTTTTCGGTAGAATGAAATAAGATAAAGACCTTCATTTTCATCATTAAGAAAAGTTGTCTTTAATATCCGGAATTTATTATGTTAGATTAAGATATAAATCGAATCTCTAAAATTCATTCATAAAATTCTCTGTAGACATGTATCGACTTCGAACGCGTTTGGAAGTAGAATAAATAATCCATAAAATGAAAATTAACGATGTTCAAAAACGTTCGAACTTAATTGAATCAAAGAATACTTCTATGATTGTCCATATACCTCAAGGAATGTTTAGATAATTACCTAAATACTCAACACTGTCTGAAATAGTTCACAAATCTGAACATCGAGCCATAGTTCAAGGTTAATCCATGACTAATTCTAAGAGAATTTCACATTGAAATGAACAACACCATATACAAAAAAAGCTGTTAAATATATTAATGTCGTTATTATAAAGGTATATTTATAAAATCTCTTAAAATGTTAGTACAAAAAGAAAAAAAAAAGAAAATTTGTTACCATGTGACATATCATCAAGTTTACAAAGTAGTCGATGTTTAGTTGCATTAATATCATTTTCTTTAAATTCTTTATGTACCCAAGAAAAAATATTTTCTGATGTTAAATTATTTTTATTTCCACCTCCCGGTATTTGAAATAACCTAAAGAAAAATATGTTATATATTTGTTTGTTTAACCTTGAAACAAAAAAAAATACAAATCTAATTTTACCAAGTATCATCAGTTTCATGATGTTCATCATCAATATGAACAGTTTCAATTTTATCAAGTGATAATAATCCATCTGTTGCTGCATCATATTGTGCTTTACGTGAACGTCGTTTTTTTTGTGTATTAAGTGATTCTTTTTTTCCAAGATTTTTTAAATTATTAATTGTTGATGCATCATTTTGAAGGCCATTTATATTATTTCCTATTATTGTTTCATCTTGTCCATTTATTGAACAAAAACTTTCTGTCATAGATTCACACATACCAACACCATCAAGATTTAAATTTATTATTCGATTACTACCACCACCACCACCACCACCACCACCACCTGAATCTGATATACCTGATGTTGTTAAATCAGGAAAGTGTAATGCATTTATTGTTGATGTTGTTAAAAGTGCAGATGGATCAATTGATATACTTTGTGTCATATCAGTATTTAATAAAAAATTTTTATCAGCCATAATTTAATATAAGTAAATAAAAAAGAACAATTCGTTTTGTTTTTTCTTTCTATTTATTAAATTCAGTCACCTGAAGGAAATACAAATCCTTCTTTTTCTGTCTGTCTCTCTGTCTCGAATGTCATTAAAAAAAAATTCAACCAATCATAATATCTTTTGAAAATTATCAAGTGACATCTAGTTTTAATTAAAAAATAAATAATTTAATTATAGATATTTTCCAATAAAAAAAAATTTCTTAGAAAAAATATTTTTTTTATTCATTTATAATTATTTCTATTGGTTAAATATGACATACATCACGTTACTAATTGCTTTAATTTATTCATAAAATAAAAAATAAAAAATAAAAAAAAATTTTTTTTTTTAAAAATATGCAAACAGCCGAAAGTGTTTGTTTATGGAATTATCAATTTAAAAATAAAACATCTTATTTAACTTGTACAAAAAATTTATTATGTCAAAATGAATTATTATCAAAAGCAATAATTTATTGTATACAATGTAATTCATTACAATGTTTTTTATGTGATAATGAAATTCATAAAAATTTAAATAATAATCAACATCAACGATTAAATTTAGATGAAATTGAAAATGAATTTTGTTCAATTGATCAACAACATCAAGCTATTTTTTATTGTTCAACATGTTCATTATCATTTTGTTATAATTGTTATGAAAAACAACATCAACAGTCAGATGAACGAGAACATAAATTACAAAAATATCGAGATGAACAAAGTTTATCAATTAAAAATAATAAGTAATATAAAATAAAAGAATTTCAAAAGAGATTATAAAATCAATTATTTCTTTCAATTGAATTTAAACTCTTGAAAGTTATTTCATAATGAATGAACTATTTAAAATATAAACGATAAGCATAATAACTTAATATATTAAGTATTCATTTTATATATGGACAAGAACGAAACATGACTATCTTTGATTAGGATTATGTTAATAAGTTCTTTTACATAAGAATATTGACTGTATCTGCTCACAACTATTATCGATTTTAAAAAAAAAATCGCTTATAGCTTTCGAAGAGAAAGTGATAGAGACCTGCGGTTTTCATTGTTGGTTAGAGCACAGTGGGAGTACGCAGTACTATGAAATAACCAGATCTTCAGGAAAGGTTTACTACGATAAGTTTTTGAATGGACGTCTTTTTTATCTAATTCGGACCCAAAAATTATAGAAAGTTAGAAATGAATGTTTAAAAAAAAACCATTTTTTTACTCTATGATATTGAATTTGCAGTCTACTGCTATAGTATAACTTCTTTTGAAGGTGACTCGAGTTCAAAAAACGTTTCCCAAACTCCAAATAAACAACGCCTCAATGTTCAGAGTATCTGTTAATGCATATGTCAAGCTTTTTTAGTTGGAATTTTTGCCTGTTTACGGATAGGAGCAGATACCTTTATGAAGAATACCTATAACTCCTAAGCTGTAAAAGATACAGACTTGGAGTTAGTCTAAAATTGTAGATCTTAATCCGAGCTATTAATTCCAGTATGCAGAAATCAAAATCCGATGTACTCTCCGGCAATGACAATTTCGCCAAGTTTGCATTCGAAGATAAACCTTACATGAAGGCTTGGTTATTTCATAATAATACGTGCTCTTCCCTGCTCCATCGCTTTTCCTCTCAAAAGTTATAAGCATTCGTTCCAAACGACTTTTTTTTAAAAATGGACAATAGTTAAAATATAATTAACGAATAGCTCGTTAATGGTAGGATGGAAAAGTTCAAGAATTTTGGAATAGACTCCAGTTCTATATTCTTACTCAGTCATATCGCTAACAACAAATAAACTCAGTTGTCTTTTTGTTTGAAAAATCTAAGCATACTCAAAAGAAACTTTACATAGAGATTTTGTAGTCCTCTACAAAACGTATTCGGAATATCTAGAGTAACTCAACATAAAAATTAGCTAGAAGAAATGCTTGAAATTCATATGTATACTTTTTTTAGTGATCAACATGAAATTGAAACTAAACCGATTAAAATTCCTACGTCTTCCAATGTAAATAATGATAATACAGAACCTTCAGCATATTCATTTGAAGATGTTCAAATAGATAATAATGATGAAAATAATATATCATTATTAAATCGAAAAGAACATTCAATACAATCAGTTACTTATCAAATGAATAAATCAAATTCCATGCCCAAACAACATAATTTTAATCAACAAATGTTACTTGAATCAATGATTGATGATAATGAAAATGATCATACAATTAAAAGTGATAATTGTCTTTCACAACAAAATCAATCTGATAGTGATTCACAGAAAGAATTTTTACTCTTCGATACTAATGAACATTTAACTGTAAGTTTCATTTATTTATGAAAAATGCTAAGTTTACTTTGATCTGATTTTCCGATTATTGCTTGTCGAATTGTGAGTATTTTATGAACATAGGATCGCTGAGAATCTGAATGATCGAATTTCGTTCATAAATAGGCACTCGAAACATTCTCAAAAGTTAGAACTAAGATAGACGGATATATCATAGCAAAGAATGCGTTTATTCTGAGTCAAGCTTTGAGAAATTTCTTGTGACTATAAACCCTACCTATGGACGAGATTCGATCATACAGACTGAGTAAAACGCTCATAATTCGATAAGCGACGATTAGAAAGTCAAACTCAAAACAGACTTTTTATTTTTCATTAAGTCCGATCTAATGGCAATAGTTTCAAATGGTCTGAAAATTAGGAACGTTTTCTTGTTAATTATATTTTCCTAAATCGAAGACATATTTGATTAGAGATCGATTACAACATTTGAATGAAAAAGTGATACTTCAATGAAATTCAGTTTTATGTTTAAAACTGAACTTCACTCTTATTAAATTTGAACTATCGATAGTTCTCTATAAAATCATGCTTTTGCAGTTTTTATTCGTGATATTGTCTTCAATTGTATTTGAACTTAATAAAAGTTCAAAGATATTCTTTCGATATAGTTTTAACTATTTTTAGATTAGAGCTGCCAGTCTAGCAGGTTATAGTTATTGATCTGATTCTTACGTTTTGGAAATCAAATATTCATGCATCACGATATTATCCGAGAGTATTTTGATAGATTTATTCGATTCCATCAAAATCAAAAGTTAATGTAGTGTTGTACAATTTACATTGACTGGCAAAAAAAAACTTGTTTAGATAAAAAACAATCGAATAGGGAATTTTGCAGTCGTACTCTTGTAAAAATTGGTTGTCAAATGCTTGTTATTAAAAGTAGTACTGATTCTCTACGTTTTCTTTTATCTCTTTGTTGTAATTTGTTATTGTCTTATCTTTATGGTAATAAATTAAGTGAATAACTGAAACTAGAATAACATTATATTCGAAGAATCAGAAATATCAACCGGATTGCAGACATATTCCGGGCCAGACCCGACAAAAGTCGCCTGTTCGCAGCTCTGTTTTAGACTAACAAAAAATTATTATAAATTAAAATAAATAAACGAATCTATTCTTTTTTGAATTAACAAAAGTTAAAGTCAACATTATATTTTCTTATTGATGATTTGAAATTGTGTGTAACCTTTTCCTCATTATTTTTCATTCAATTATATCATCAGTCTTGAGTAGAGATGTGCGGTACCACGAGAAAAAAAATTCTCCTAATCGGAACTAAAGATTATAGTTTAATATTCTATAATTTCCAGCGAAGTATCTTATAAATCAGAATATAGAATGATAGGAAAAAGTTTAGTAACAACGATTTTTTTGGTTTCATAATATTAAGCACGTAGCCCCAATCCAAATAGTGATTTTAATAGCCAATGGAGTTTTTTATTCAATACACTTTATAGCAAGATGAACAATGATGGCAAGGCTCCTAAAAACCCGAACACGGTATTTTTCAGGTTCTAGAAGAATTTGTCAGAGCTATTTTTGAACGGTGCTATCTTAAAGAGCACAAAATGCTGAGCAAAATGAGAGGCCGCCAAGTTTTCTACGACCTTCTCATAAAAAGTTACAAGCATTACAAAAATCATGAAAAAACGAAATTTTTTTAAAAATCGACTAAAAATGCCTTTTTCATGATTTTCATGATTTTTGTAACTTTTTACGAGAAGTTCGTAGAAAACTCAACGACCCCTCATTGTGCTCTTTAAGATGGCACCGTTCAAAAATGTCTCTGACAAAGTCTTCTAGAACCTGAAAAATACCGTGTTCAGTTTTTTAGGAGCCTTGCCATCATTGTTCATCTTGCTATAAAGTGTATTAGATAAAAAACTTCATTGGCTATTAAAATCACTATTTGGATTGGAGCTACGTGCTTAACATTATGAAAAAAAAACCAAAAGAATCCACCACTTTATACTACAAGATCAATTATAAATTTGTTTTCAAATCTATTTCATATTTTCTTTAGATAAACAATGAATCTGAATTTTTACATCGTTTAAAATGTGAAAAAGATCTTAGTGTAAAATGTATATCTATAATTGGTAATACAGGTGATGGTAAATCTTATACACTTAATCAAGTATTTTTTAATGGTCAAGAAATATTTCATACATCATCAACAGCTAATTCATCTACATTAGGTATATGGACAGCACTTGATCAAAATCATCGAATACTTATATTTGATACTGAAGGTCATTTTGGTTTATCAGAAAATGATAATAAACATAATAGATTATTACTTAAAATTCTTTGTATAAGTGATATTATTATTTATCGTACACGTGCATCGAAATTATCAAATGATATGTTTCAATTTTTATCTGATATTTCAAATGTATTTATAAAATATTTTCGAAAAGAATTAGAAAATATTATGAAAAATTGTAAAATTGATGAATCTATATCAACTATAGGACCAACATTAATTATTTTTCATGAAACACAACATACAGAAATATTAAAAGGTTTTAATAAATAATTTATAAAAAAAAAATAAAATAAAAAAAAATAAATTTAGATTATTTTCAATGTCAAAAAACAGCTGTTGAACAAT